ATGGTGGTATATATTGAAGCTACCTTTATACCAATGTATGATGAGGCTGTCAGCGACATACAGATCTTGATATTTTGCAGTCATATTGAAGGTGATAAAAATTAAAAGTTCACAAGAAGCCGCCGTTAAAGAGTATGCGAAGTGTATGAAATATGAGATTGTGTTTCTAATTGACTATTATCCAGTCCTGCTGGCCGGCTTTTATGGCTTGGGTGTGTGCTCATCCCAGTCTTACTGCCAACTTTTTATTTTACGTAGCTGGAAATGCAAATCTGTTATGAATGTTTGCGTTTGCTATTCGACGGCCACATTTTCCTCTTTCCCGCTACGCCCACATTTTCCTCGTTCCCACTACACATCATCATTATATCCTTTGGCCATTTCAACAGTAGACAAACATGGGAAGAAAAGCACACAGCAACATCGCTAATCCTCACTTCAACAGGCTTGTTATCAAAAATGGAAGGAGGTCTTTTCCCTCCTCCACTATTCCCTCTCTGCCATTTTCCCCCGTGAAAAAACGTAACTGCAGCCATCTGGAAAGAGACATTGAAAGGGAACACCAAGATTTGCCATACGTTGAATATGCTCCTCCTCTCGAGGATCATCAACCTTACAGAAATGTGAAATTCCTCTTCCAATATATTCATATACTGAACGCTAATACACTATCAGTCATCCAATGATTACATGAGGGTTTGGAAAGAGACTAAGCATAATCTATACCTCCACGAATTTTTGGATAGGAAAGCGTCAAAGCGGGTTTGTATCTCTTGCAAGAAGGAGGCAAATTGGCGATGTCTCAATTGCTTTGCCGGCACAGCATATTGTGCAGAATGTTGCCGAACATCCCACTGCAGGGACCCTTTCCACCGGATTGAACGTTGGACCGGCACCTTTTATGAGCTGAGCTGGCTGTGGAAAGTGGGTTTGGTTATTCGACTTGGTCACGAAGGTGATCGGTGCCCGAATGGAAGCAGCAACTTGAGTGCCGACCTTGACATTGACGAAGAGGAATGGTTTGACATGGAAGACCTTACCAGCACTTCGGCCGATCCAAAACCAACGGACCGTATTTACAATGGTGGCCGGGTCATGACCGTCGTCCATACTTCCGGTGTGCATCACCTACCTATCGTCTTCTGTGGATGTTCTGGTGCAGCAGCCGAGGACATACAGTTGTTCCGGGTTGGGTTGTACCCATCCACCTACAAGACTTGCCAGACCGTATTTACCTTCCAACTCCTCGATGACTACCTGCTGGAAAACCTGGAATGTAAAACATCGGCCACCCACTACTACTCCAAATTGAGAAGGATCACCAACTTTGCATTTCCTAATTCCATTCCGGTATGTTGTTCAAGTACCGAGGTATACTCCCATCTCAAAACGTTTGACAGAACCGGTATCACGAGTTAATAAGGGTTGGTAGACAATACCGTAATCTTACCGAACTGGCTACTTTTGGATTTGGACACAAAGGTAAGGCTCCGACGCCGGGGGAGATGGGTTTTTTTTGCCCTACCTGCCCACAACCGGGAGTCAACCTTCCTGATGACTGGAACAAAAACCCCAATGATCCTACTAACTGGAAGTATACCAGAGGATTTGTAGCCAATGGCAATTTCACAGCAGCCCACCAAAAACAGGCACGGCCCAAAGACGATGTTTGGCTTAAAAATGGGGATAGTTTCATGACGCAAAGAGGACCTTATTTGAGCCACCTTCAGGATGCGATTGAAGATAATGATGTAAGTTTTTATCCTTCGAGCGACTCGGCCGGTGTCTGAATCTTTCAGCCAAGGACATGTCATGAGCACAATGCTATCAACAACAAGAATGTATTTCACCGAGGTTTTGACGCTACTGGAATTGGAGCCATTGCTTGCCTTCGACATGGCACCTTTTGTCTGGGTTCGGTGGTAGATTTTCAAAAGGGAGAAAGGTATGGAAGTTATCCTGAGGTTGAATCGTTGTTTTACCGAACAGGCAAATGAACATGGACTATGCCTTGTGCCAGGCTCTGAAGAATACCATGACCGGTGAAGAAAAAAGGGTTATTTTTGTCTATGACATCAACTGCCAGTATATGGTGAATTTGATGGCTCGGATAAAANCGTGGTGCGAAACA